TAAATTGCTGGCTTTTTTTTTTTCCAAATTATAAGAATAGCAGTTGGATTATGGTTGGGAATAACAGAGAGTGGTCTTCATGATATAACTCTTTCTAATAATTGGAGTTGCTTGGCGCTGAAATTTCTCTTCTCTGCTATGGGTCTGCTACTCCAACATTTTCTCTAAGCGTGTTACACGCTTGTTAGCAAACTAACTGCTTACTTAACACCATGATTTTCACTTTATATGCAATGCGATTCAATAAATAGTCAAACCAAAACAATAACAACAACTACTTATAATGAAAAAAAGACAATTGCCTTAACAATGCACCATAAACTTGTCATTAAATATTGATTGACTTACAATTATACATACTATAAATGTTTTCATAGTGGAAAAAATAAGCTTTTTTGTAAACATATAATGAAAATTTATTGTAGGTCTGAGCAGAGTTCAACTTGAAACGCCACATAAATTAAATGCGTTGAAAGCAAAACCCAAACTAATAACAAGTACGGGCATGTGGTATGATGATGTGGGGGCCTAAAGCAGTGACTACAATAATTATACAATAATAACAACAATAATAAAGCAAGCAAGAAAAGCCAAGCCAAGCCAAGTTAGTTATATAGTAGTATTTGTATAGTCTGTGGTATGGTGGGGTGTGTGTTTTGTGGCTGCTATTTTTTTTTTTTTTTTTGACCACCAACCAAACGACAGACTGATGACGATGACGAAGACGACGACGACGTGTGGGTGCAATGAACTCCAACGACATTTTCCTAGTCTCGGTTGGTCAACTGCATTGAAAAATCGATGCTCGCCAGTTTGCTGTTGTAGTTTTTATTTTTGTTATTTCTCTTTATATTAGTTTTTGTCTGGCTGGAGCAGCTTATGCAATCATTTTTGCATAATACTTGTAATGTGGCAAAGATTTGATGGAAAAGGGCATGTGAATCAAATATTTTCGCAAGTTGTGTTTGCTGCTGCCTCCGCCTTTCCAATTTCAGCCAAAAACAAATTTTTTTTTTCAAAAAGAAAAAATAATTGTTTATTTAACTGTGTCAGGCAAATGCAGTTTGCTGGTCGCTTGCCGGTTGTTGGCCCGGCCCGGCAGCTTGCAAGCCACAAAGCGCAGTTACAGTGTCTGTTTGTTAACTGTTGTTGCTGCCGTTGTTGTTATTGTTGTTGTTGTTGTTGGTGCTGTTGTTATTGCTTACAGTTAAGGCGCAAGATGCTGCGACTTCAGACTTCACCTCATTCGCTGATTTATCTGCAAGTATCAGTATAATTTTTTTTTACTAAGCTCTCTGTCTAAGCCAAGTCGTGTGAGCAGCTGGTTATGGATTGCAGTTGTTGTTGCTGCTATTTGATTCATTGGTTGCGCTTCTCTGATTTTGTATGCACTGCAAGCTTTACTTTTTGGTTTCTTCTCCCTCCCCTTAATTTATTTAGTTGCTGGCTGGTGTGAGCGCATAATTTGTTTAATTATATTTCCCATGAAATTTGCTTTGTTTGCTGCTTCTCGACATCGTCACCTGATATGCGCAATTACTGAACTGTGTGAATCGCTGATTGTTTGTTGGTATTATTAGTACAGTATTGTTGTGGGTTCTGAGCTCGCCATCTGCATATAGTGCCTTAGAAATGCAAATATGAGAAGACGTAAGCGAACGTCATGAGAATATCGTAAATCTAACGAGTTGTGAAAGCAAAATCAGTGACACGGCATAGATAATACGTACTTAAGTATCATGTGATCCCAGAGCTTTAAAAAAGATGCGAGAAAAAAATAAAGGGGGAAAAAAAAAACATTACGTTGCATCATGAATATGCCATTAAACTGGAGAGCATTCGGAATAGCCCAGTATTTATTGCAAAAAATGTTAGTTTCCCATTAAAAGTGTTTATGAAGAAAACGTGGAAATTTACGTATTAAGTTATTTGTTTTTCGAGTTTTCAACTTCATTTAAAAAGTTTAATGCTGCTAATTTGTAGTTGCAAAAGCAAATAATTATCTATCTTCATTTTTAAAAATGATTTTTTATTTAATTTTGAAAAAAAAATGATCTAATCATATTGAAATAAATATAGTGATGTAGATGTGAATAAACGTTAAGTAAATATAGTGATGTAGATGTGAATAAACGTTAAGAACTTTATTTTCTTAATTAATGGCTATGTTTTATTTGCCAACCAAATATCAGTTCAATGAGATAAAAAAATAATTAAAATTTAAAAATATAATTATTTTAGCTAAAATAGAAATATAAAAGTTATGCCTGCTATTTCAATTGGAATATGATTTCAGACAAATAACTACATTAAGATATCGACAATGGAATGTAAGACCACTTTTTTCTGAAATATTTTCTTTCATGAAACATCTCACATTTTTATCAGTTCATACTAATTCCTTTATGCCTAACAAATTGATGGAAAGTAGCAGATATATTTGTTAATAAAAGCTGATAAGTCAATATTTTTATAATTCCTGAAATGCTGAGAAGAAAACATTGTTACAACCCAAAGCCATCGCTACAAAAACAGCCAGTGACATTGCTCTAGAATCCAGCTTGGTTGAAATACTATTAGCTGACCCAGTTCTGAAAAGCCGGCAACAACTAACGGCCATGACATATCAATCAGGCAATAACAAACTTTGTAAATTGTCAGACATCGACGATACTATAGGCCGCTTAACAGCCTATTGTAAACTATTTATAGGTTTTCCAAACCTCACGCCAATCATCTCTACCACAATGCCAACAGTAGAGAAACGAAAGCGTGTAACCCAAATAAATGAAATTTTGTCGCAAAGAGAATGACGCTAAACAAAAGCCGTAGCAATTATAATGTAATTACGACAATTTGTATGTCTTACTCTCCGCCTAGAGACGGAAATTTCATTGTTAAGTCTTTCACTTGACCATTGATAAATGTACATGACTCGACGTTGTGGGTGAGTTGGCACTGAGAAGTGGCTAAGAAATTAGGGAGGACCGGCGAGTGCAGCTGAAAAAGGCAAGGGCGCTAATGTTATTAGAGGGACACAATGATTATCTACAAGTAGACCCAAAAGTATTGGCCACAACAAACCTCGACCTATTTTGTTGCTATGCTTTTTGGTCTACAATTACAATTTGTTACAAACTATTGCTGACGTTATTAGACTGCACCTGTTGCAGCTCCAAAGCGGTTAGTTATTTTTAGAGCACTGCCATGAAAAATCTATAAATTGACATTGAGTTCATGTGTGGTGGAAATTGCACATTTTAGCATTTAATAATAGAACAAAAACCACAACAAAACATTATTTGCACAAAGAACTTGAAGCTATTCATATTTACAGTAATAGTTAATTTGAATTAATAGTTATAGTTAGAAAATAATTGAAATTTCTATTTATCTCCGAATATAAGAGAAAAAAGTAAGGTTGCTTAAAAAGGGGAAGCTAATTCTTAAAACGAATATAAAATCAAAAGCTTTAAATTAGAGATAAAAGAATATTGAAGTACCTCCAAAAAAAACCAAAATCAGAGGATCAGCTAATTTTAAAAGAAAAATACTAAATCAGTACCTCAAATAAAAATACAGCGTTGATGTTGATTCGCAGAAAACAAATCTTTTCAATAAATTAGAAAAAAGTTCCGCAATATAAAAGAAGCAGCTAAATTCTTAATCTGAAGCTCAGATTTTGATCGTTGAATTAAAATCTCGGCCGTGAGTGTCCGGCCAAGAGAGTTTTCACTGTGCATATATTAAGTGCCGTCAGATGTCAGATATTGTAGTTCAGTTTGTTACCAATTTGCGAGTTTATTGCCACATGCAATCGGTTGCATGTCGAAGCCCAACCAATTGCCAGTTTAACCTATTGACCTGCATGCAATATCGAGCCTACAATTGTTAAAGAGAAATGGCAGAGAAATTACATGTTGATTGGGGCAGGTCGGGTTATGCCCTTTTGTATTCAGTTATAAATGTGTTGCATTTGCTTCATAGTTCTTGTGCAATATTTATACACAATTTCTATGCACAAATTAAATATTAAAATGTTTGCTCTTTTTTCCCAACTTTCTTGAAGTGTATCTTGTACCTTAGGTAAAGCTTCTAAAGCATTAAGAACTGATTTAAAAAATTGCAATCATTTTGAATTTGAATAGCCAAAAATGTTTCCTTAAATATATGAAGCACTTTTATTTTACTCACATATAATATTATTTGCAGCGTTAGAATTCTTACTTTGGCTCTAAATCAAAACTGAACTGATATTTCGTTTATTAGGAGTGTTCATTGAAGTTAACAATGTTGGTAAAACCCGGGATATCCTGAATATCTTCTGGTCCTCGCAGTCATATTCTTTTTTACTATGCAACTTACACAATTTTTGTTACTAACATTTTCTACACTTTCCAAAATGATAAGATCATAATTTTCATCCACAATTACAATAAAAATGAGTTGGTTTTGCTTATTTGATTTTAATATATTGAATCATACAGGACTCCTTAACATATTTTCATCTGTTTTTTCTATTTTGCTGCTTCAAAGTACTTTCACTTTCTTTGTTCAATGTTTGGTCGATCAGAGTCAAATGTTAACTAAAGTTTTAACAATTTTCTCAAAACAAGTCTATTATCATTAGTATCTTTCTTTTATTAGGATTTCGATTTTCGGATACTTTTAAAGTTTTAGCAATCATTCACTTATATCACTGTTTTCGCACCATTTGTTCCTCAATTGTGGGTTGAATTTACAAAACCCAGTCTTTAAGTGTTATTTTTACAACAACAACAAATTTATTTCCGGCGTCCTATCACTATTGGCTTGTACTGTCCTTAATGAATGAATAAATGAAATGAATAAATCAGATGAATAAATGAGATGAATGAAACGAATGAATAAATAAATGAATCAGTCATGAAGCATTTTGAATACACTTTTTGAATACATTACTTTAAACTTGGATATAATAAATCGAAGACTTAATCTAATAATTAAATTCCTATTTACAGTCATTGTCCACAAGCCCAATTATGGCGCCCATGCCACGCATTAAGATGCCTAATAATGGCAATATCAAGTCCAGCACAAATAATTTTCTGTACGCGGAAACTGTGTCTGGCGACAGCAGTCCCACGCCTAGTAGTCCGCCATCCAGCACAGGTAAGTCGTAGCTGCTTTAACCCCATTACGCCATAAGAAACTGATCATGTTTTATTGATACAATCCACAGCGGATGTCGCTAAATCACAGTGCTCTTCGCTGTCCGATGGGGAATCCTTCGAGGGCTATGGTGAAAATGAATTTGGTGGCGTGCCGATTCAGGAGACCTCAGCGAATGGTAATCGGAGTGGAAGTAGCGGTGTCGGCAGCAGCTCCCAGCACAATCACAGTGGACACTCAAATGATGGCAACAACAATTTGAATGGCAGTGCTGGTGTCGAGTTGGAGTTGGCGCCACATGTGGGCAGCAGCTCCACACCACAGGAGTAAGTTGCACAATGAATTAAGTGGCGCAATTTATTAACTTGTCTATTATTTGGTTTTGCTTTGCAGTGATGACGAGTTAAACATCATGCCGCGCGACAATTGGGCCAGACGGAGTCTGCGTCGCACACCCACAAGGTAAACAACAATAACAGACTGACTGGTTGGGGCTTACTAACTAACTGGCTGCTACGACTGACCATATAAGGTCAACAATTGGCAATTAGCGGATGATGCAGTAGAAATTTATGTTGTCTCACATCTCACATCTGGGCTGACAAAATCGCACAAGTCGCAGCTCTTATGTATTTTTATTTAACTTCCAACGAACAACTTTTTGACGTAATGTCGATAAAAAACTGACCAGTTTTCAACTTGGTTTACTTTTTAGTTTGATAGCCAGTCTGTATCCAAATGTGTGCATGTGTGAGTGTGTATAGCATACATAGTATTCAAATATTTAACCTTTTCACTGCATGCATATGTGAATTAGTATGTATGTACTCGTTTGCGTAGCTTAGTGTGAACAAAACCTGTTTCCTCGATCGCTGAGCCGTTGTTTAGGCCGTGATTCATGCCGCAGTCTCTCTGTTTCCGCTTTTGTTCAACGAGCACACAATCCAACACAGCCAGTCGTCTGTGGTGAGTTCACTATTCACCTCAATTAAAGAGCATCAGTTTGTTTAGCGCTCTTAAATTATACCGTAAGGGGCATGTGCTGTGTTCACGGTTGTCATTTTGAAAATAATTTGAGCGAATGTGAAGAACCTGCGTGTTGAATAGAAAACTAATTGTTTAGAATAATATTTCAATATATTTAATGAAGTTAAGTGATTTTAAATAGAAAAACATTTGTGCTGTGATCACGGCTGTCATTTTGAAAATAATTTGAGCGAATTTGAAGAACCTGCGTGTTGAATACAAGACATTTATAGATAAAACTTATTGTTTAGAATAATATTTTAATATATTTAATTAGGTTAAATGTTTTTAAATCGAAAAATATTTCGTTTGTGCACGGTTGCCATTTTGAAAACAATTTGAGCGAATTTGAAATTTTGCGTGTTGAGTACAAAACATTTCTAGATGAAACTTAATGCATATTTATAAGAAATGTTCTATATATTCAATGAATATAAGTGTTTTTGAATAGAAAAATATTTCATTTGTTTTGAGATTACTTACATCACATACGAATTAATTATTGTTAAATATGTATATTTGGAACATTTGAATGCACACATTTTCTGTTAATTTTCTACTGCAATCTTCAACCGAATGCCAATATTACCAAAAACCTATTATCTATATTGTTATTATTTTTTTCTTATCAATTTATGTATTAAGTATAATAGCAATTTTAAAGCGCAAGTCTTCTTATCTAGGATCAAGAAATCACATACAAAATAACTCCTATTTTGTTTTGAGTTTTTCTGCTGATTATTCTTTTATTTCATTAAAAAAAATTTATAATCTAATTGAATTGGATGCCACTGTTAACATAAATTGCATTTTAGTTACATTCATAGCATACTATTATTTATATTATTTTATATCATAGCCATAAGTTCGATAGTTAGTTTTTTTAATTGAAAAGTTACACGTTTTCTTGGAAATTCATATTTACATCAAAGCTTCCAAAAACACTCTTTTGGCGAAAACTAAATCTATCAATGAAAATTTGGTATTTCGATAGTTTTCCTGAAATGAACATTTAATTATTATTATTGTTTTTGTTTGGCTCATTCCTTGTTTTTTTTTCATGATCATCGAAGTTATCTAACATCCAATATTTATGCCAATATTTTGCATATTCTTTACAGCAACGCCGATAGCTTATCACAGCGTCGCTGGGGCTCCATGAGACAGTAAGCAAAGTTTTCATATATTGATTGATTGGAATTTGGGATTCATGTAGAACTTCATTGGTCCTAATCCATATTTAGTTGCGACACATTTCATTTTTGGTTTTGGCATTTAGAACCAAAAAAAAAACAAAATTATTTAGTAATATGGTATACCTATGTAAATATTTAAATACGCATTTTTAAACCTAAAAGCTTGCACATCACACATTCTTGAACACCATTTCAATTACCTGATAATCTTTCAGTTGGCTCATTGATTTAGAAAGCTGATTAACCTATTTTCTCATTCGTTTATTTTCTCTCCATAATTTACTTATCTTATAATTTCGTTTAGTAAAAATGACGGCTGCCAAAAAAAAAAAAAAAAAAAAATGGATCCAATCACAGCGTACTGTGAGTTTTCCACATTGCTACACAATTTTTCAAGTGGTTCTACATATACATACAAATGTATATGTGTTTGGGAAGCATTTCAACCCACCAAGACTATATCGGAGAAAAAAATATGCCTTTGTTTTCTGCTGGCATAAAACTTTCGGCCCGTAATATTGCAAATATTGCCGGCATTTAATTGCCTTTCTAGTTCATGGCAAAAGGCATCGCATAAATTTGCGAGATTAATAGTTAGAGATTAGGCCGAGTCGAGCAATTGGTGAGCTTTCTTTTGCCTTCTTTTTTTTCTGCTCATAGTTCACAGCATTTAATTTGGACAAATAATTGGCAAGTATTTGGCTCATGGGGTTTTTAGCTGGCAAGGTTTCAATTGAGTTATTTGATTATATACTATAGTGTAGCTTATGGGATGGTATTGACTCCAAAGGCTTTTGCTAACTCATCGTTATATGGCCCCTCTCGAAACTGCCCTTTCCTGCTGCTTTACCTTTTGACTTGGCTCTGGCCGCAAAGTTGTTCATCTGCTTTTGTTTGGTCCGCCCCTTTTCAAGTGAAAAGGTTGAAGGTAGCAGCAGGCCATGGCTCAGAGAGAAGTTGGTCTTCAGTTACCACGCTGCTGCGGTTCAGCAGCTTGGCTTGGCTTACAAGTTTTCTTGTGTCTTTTTTCGCGCATGGGCTGGGGTTGTCATGACGTTGGAATGCGCACAGGCCTGACGACGACGACAATGTTGAAACGAGGTATCGGGCTGGGGTCTGGAAACGAGTTTTTCTTCAGGCGATTGTTACTCTGTTTTATTATTATTATTTCTTTTTTTTTTTTTTAATTTTTGCCACAATTCACGGCATGTGTGCAGAATTTAGGCCGTCCGCATATATTTTGTCAAAACAAACTGACCTAAAAAATCTCGAGGAAGCTGCAAGTGGGCGAGATTGAAGGTTTATAGTAGAGATGGTGTGAGTGTTTGAAGCTATAGAGCTGTATTATGCTTCATTCTTCAAATAAGAAATGCTTAGCCGACATGGTGGCTGGAACAGTTCTTAGGATGGGTATTTAGGATGGTAGTGTTATGGTAATGCGAACCTTAGGATTTATTGTAATCACCATAAAATAAAGTTTAGCTTCAAGATCTGTTTTCTGTACTAAGCAAGTAACTTTATGATCTTGTATTTCACATAAGTTAAACCTCGTATGTCTTCTCCAATTTCAAGTGACAGATAAAAGCGGCACTACTTATCTTGAGGTAGTTTTTGAGGAAAGGCTTAACTTTCTTGAACCTTCCAAATTAATGATTTCCTCAGAGTTCTTTAAATTGTTTTGGCCTAAAAGTGTTTGAGCTTTTTCTTCATCACGTATAACTGCCTACCCATTGAGCTTATCAGCTGGGAATCCATTTTAGCCAAACATTATTTGTCTCTCCTAGACACTATTACCTGTTTGGAGTAGTCAATCTGTTGATCTCATTGACGTTATGTTTTTCTACAGACTTTTTTCAGTGTGTCTCACACTTCGGCCTAGAACTTATTGGTTTAATTTCTGAAGCTCCCTTGAGTATTTCTCAAGGTTATACAACTTTGGTTTTGCCACTCCCAAGCCGCCGTCCTCTTATTAGTCTTTATGATATGTCTGATATGTCCTCTAGAAATGCACTTCCCCATTTATTACCTTAAGGTGCCTCTAAAAGAGATTTTTGTCATATCTAGGACTTATTTTGCAAGGCATTTGTATGAGGGACGCTTTCTTAAATAGCTTTTTTATGTGTGGTTTCAAATAATGCATGTCTCGTCTCTCTGCTTGCCACTCTTATTGGTTCCGAGTTGTTTCTTGTGATATTCAGTTCCCATGTTATACCTAGGTTGGCTATTCCAAGACAGTGGACTCACCTTTCTTGATATGTTGTCTCCCTACATTTTTTTATCGGGTATATATGAATTGGATATATTTTATTTGGGTATTTGTAGACTGGTATTAATTCCAATAAGACCTTCAATGCTTTTTTTGGGAGAGATTATCATTGTCAGGAGACATTTAGTTAAGCAAGATGTTGAAATTGCACCATTTAGTTGATCAAAGGCTGCTTTAAAGTTTTCAAAGGAAGACATTCGTCCTTCAACTTTACGCAAACGTCCAAATCGTGCCAAGAGCTACAATTGATGTCTTCTCTAGGTCTCTTTAATTAGTGCTCAACTCTTGTGCATTGCATTTAACCTTCATGCAACTGTCTCGTAAATTGTGGAGGCAACTTTCCGGCCATTGCATATTCACATCATAGCAAGAGTACTACTATGCTCTTACTCAGCTTTAATTTGTCATGCAAATGCATTTGTTTTTTTTTGTTTCTCCTACTATCTGGTTGCTCTCGTCTTCTGCCTGCCACTGGTAATTTAAGCTGGGAAAATGCTTTTCTGTGCATTTATCAGAGTCATTTGCGGCAAATGCTGAAATGATTGGAGGGTGAACTTCAAGTGCAACTCTGAAGGTTGGGAAAAAGGTTTACAATGCAGAGATAACTTGGCTTGTATGGGATTGTTTCTGTTTTATTGCTTGGCTTGGTTGATTTTCTAACTGATACTACGAAACGACATTATTGAAATGATAAAAAAATACAACTACAACACATGCGTCTTTGATTACTAGACCACGTCCAATGAAGAGTCCCTGTCTAAGCACAAGTTTTAACTTTCTCCCATACTTGGACCCAGAGCAAAGTTTTTTGAAAACTGGACTGGATCTTGAGTTACCTTCCGAGTTATGTATCTTCCTCTACCCTTTACTCAAATTTTCATTTCTACGTTCTCCAACGCACTGTGTTGTTTCCATCTCGAGCAGTGTTTGTATTCCGCTTATACAGTGGTATACCTGATGTGGCACGATTGAGACCATGTCTGATGGGTCGTTTGGGGGGTACCGTAGGACTCATCTTGGTAGTAGGGCTTAGCTCTAGATCTTGAAGTGGCTCTTGCTTTGGAGTTTGAGTTTCGGCTGTAAACATGGCAGAAGGTTCTTCTATAAGCGGACTTGGTTCGGCCATGAGGAATTGATCTTCCAGTCTAGTTGGCTGTTTATGTTTTTTCATGGAATTACGAGCATTTCAGAGGTGATTGCCAGATTACTTACAATCTGCAGCAATTCATTGCCATTGGGACTGCGTGACTGAGGATTCGGACGTAATTCCATGGAGCTGCCACCAGAACTGTGCTGGGGCAGTGTATGTGGATTATCGGGCGGACTGTCCGTAGTGTTGAGAGGGATACTGTTGGTGGTGCTAGCACAATCTGATGGAGGTCCATGTTCAAACATCACATCCAAAAACTGTATGAACTTGTCATCCACTGCTCGACCGTTGTCATCTTTTGCCTTCGTTGCCAGGGTGGCGTTCAGCGAGTCATGCATCTTGACCATATCATTGTTCACATACTGGACGCGTTCGCGCAAAGCGTGCAGCTCCCTCATGGTAACCTAAGACCCAAGAGGTCAGAATGTTGTGGTTTTCATTCTTACACTGGACAGAGTCTACTTACATACTGCTTATAGCGCTTGTGTAGTAAATAAAATGCATAGACTGTGGTTATAACCAAAACGATAATGGTGGCAACTGATGTCAGCAAACGCTCAAAAAGCAACGGCTTGAGTATGGCGTGCAGTTTAAGCATAAACCAACATACCGACTGCCATTCCTGGCAGAAGGGAGTCATTTTTAGGCGCGTATCATATGGTATTACGTGACGGTACTCCCACATGGTTGCTAATTTGGAGGCCTTACAAAAAAAGTTAAAATAATACTAAAAACATCAAATTTTGTTGAAGTTTTTGTTGCCAACGTTGTGAACGGACTATAATCAAAAAGAATAGGGCTAGAGAAGGCTAAGGGAAGGCTTGCTGAAAAGAAAATCGTAAATCAAATGATTTGAGATTTAAGTCCAAATGCTTTCAATTCTCTATTACATTCATTTGAAAAATATGAAGGCGATCCAACGATCTAAGAATTTTCATTTAAGTAAAATGTAAGTTTTAAGCGCGAGAAGCGTTCAGAAGTACTGAAAAAATGACACAAATAAGTTGTTACACGTAATTTTAATAGTGCTTTTATTTAAGAGGTTTTAAAAATTGTTTCTAAATAAAATTCCATCTTTTCCCAAATTCAATTTGCTGCTCGGTTTAAAGCAACTTTATTGTATTGTTGACAGTTATTTCTCTAAGAATTTGTGGTGAAAGAACTTCGTCCACTTTAAATTTTTCCGCTGATAACTGGAACAGAGGGGTCTTAGATATACCGCGTAAATATATTGTGCCTTGTATTCGGTTTCCCGAATCTTAAATATGGAAGTCCGGTATTATACAATTAATGTTTCTTTAGTAATTATTGTAATTGTCCAGTGTGATATATCCATTAAACATTCCTTAAGAGTCATTTGCAGAATCTCCTCGTGGTCCGAAATAGGTTGGTTTTCAATAAGTGTGGAATCTCGCTTCGTTTAGTTCAGCATTGTGTTTATATAGGTGTTGTTGGTTATAAGTATATACAATTTTATTTTGTAGTTTTATATTTTCTTTAAGTGCAATTTTTAAATAGATATTTATTATCACTTGATGTTAGTTTTCTATAATGTATCTAGGAAACTTGTTTTAGGAAACGAATTTATTACGAAAGATATTCGCCAATCAAAATTCCTTTGAATAACATTTTCGTAATGCTGTTTAAATGCTTTTTGTCTAATAAAATGAATTTTTAATCTATTCGGTATGTCACAGGAATCGCATGTTTTAGGTGACACAGAAAAATATTTTAGCCATATTTTAAATAACTTCTATCTCTTTAAAATGAAATCTAGGGTCGCTATGAAAAATAGTATTGCCATTTCAAAATCTACATAAAAAATATTTAATATTTTGCCAGTGTACAGCAATGTGTTCTTTATAAAGAAAATAAAAGAGCTCGATGATGGTGAAGCAGCTAATTTTTGTTAAAATTTAAAACTTATGCCTTCTACTATTTGCTTTGTTAAATTTTTTTTAAATTAGTTTTATTTATTTATTTATTTATTTTTATTTGATTTATTTATTTGTATTTTATTTATTTAATTATTGCTAGTTATTTTTTACTTTAAAAAATTTGTTTTTAAAATTGATTTGTTTTTTATTCCAACACCTCGTACGAGTAGTTCAGTCGAAATTCAATTTCAATTCAATTTGCCCCAAATGATAGTTTTTATGTTATTTGCAGACCTCAGAAATCGTTCAATTTCAATGTCGAACTGCCTTCATGCCACCACTTGCCATTTGTGCAGATCCCCCTCCCATTTGCAGTCAACTTAGCCTTGACAGCGCATAGTTCACAGCATGCCGCGTCAAAGCTAATTGGCTTTTAAGTGTTTCAAAGCCCAGCCGACCCTCCAAGCTGTCCGTTTGCCACTTCTACAACCACCGCCACAGCCACCGCCAACAGAGCGCATACATAATTATGCTCAAGATCTTCGTGGGCAGCCTCCAATTAGTCTTAACGTGGCTGCTTAATTAAGGCATTTTGGAGTTTGAGTGGAAATCGCGGTAGTTGCATTTTATGCTAATTGAGGACTCCATCAAATTTGCTTGCCAACGTTTTAGATTTTTTTTGGCAACATTATCTGCATTTGGCAACAATTCAGACGATTTGGCAGCCAAAATAGTGAATGCTTATAGTCGCCAGACAGTTGAGGATATCGTGTAGCTCGTGAAATGTGCATTGTTTACGACCATAGTTTGTGGTTTTGGCCATAGTTTATTTTTGCTCTGTGTGCTCGAACATGTTGAGCTCGAACATGTTGTAAGTCATGCAGCTAAGCGTCTATCGCGCAAGTAGGAGCTGCCAGACTGTTGAGTTGCAGTGTGATTTAAAAAGTGTGTTCAAAGAGTAATATTTCTATGTTAATTATTTGAAAATAAGGGGCAAACAATTCGGATGGTACTTAATTAAAATATATGCTTAATTATTATACACATTTTTAACATTATTTTAGCTTGAGGACGCCTGCTTGTTTGTAGGCATTCCTAGATGCCCTTATTGGTCTATTTGTCCACTCGTTAAGCCATTTTAGAGGGATTTATTAGTGCATCTTTTAAAAAGTCTAGCTTGTTAAATGTTGCTCCAAAAAAAAAAAATGTTTAATTTTCACTAAAATTAAATTCGAGGTAGCCAAAACAAATGTAAGAAATAAATAAAAGAAAAGTAACTCCTACTTTTTTATAGGATTTTACCATTAAAGTAGTACTTAGGGACTGACTATTTCTAATGAGGTTTCCGATCCTATTCATAGACTTAACAGTTCTTAACAATACACATACGATCGAGTGAAAACTTTAAAACTCGTAAGACACGTAAGAAATGGCGAATAAAATTATAAATTAAACCGTGTGCCATATTATTAGGACAACTTAATAACGATGTGTAGAAAACGAAAAAAAAAAACTTAAAAACTAATGGAATACATAAATTTGAAGTTTAAATAAATGAAATAAAAATAACCTAACAGTTCATAGATCTTAACAATACTTAATGTATACTAAAAGCAAAATAAATAATAATAGTATAAAAACCCCCTACTACAAAAGGAAAAAAATCAAATTGCAAAATGAGAAACACTGATTCATATTTTTCCCACTCTTTACAAAATTTATAAGATACTTGGAAAGAAAGTGGGGTTCATGCTTTAAGGGCTCGCTTTCATACGACACACTTCATAAATATGAATTAAAAAAACTAAAATGCATTATCCATCTAACTTCTTACCCACTGCTGCCACGAAAAATACCTAAACACTACATTTTACATTTAATTAGTACATATAACGATAAACCAATACGGTTTCAGTAGTACGTTTTGAAATTAACTAACAAAAATTTAAATTGTCTAATTTAAATGTTACGAATAGGAGCCTGGCAAAGCTCAGGCAATTACAAAGCTATCATAAAATTTAGTAATTTGCCAACCTAGGACAGATATTAAATAAAGATTAAACAGAAGAGAATTAGCTCAAAATTGGCTAACATTCCTTCGATTAATAAATGTGAATTCGGATTCTATATTTTATTAAATTAAAGTTATTAAGAGCTCTAATCCATTTTCTTACTTCCGTCGGCCACACTCGCTTTTGCATACTTTCTTCAACAACTATCTGGCAACGCCATTCGCGCTCTCATACAAAATGTTGCATTGCAACAAAATAGTTTTGCGCTCTTCGCTACGCTCTGGGCCATTTACTTTTTGTTATTGTTGCCGCTTCGAACCCGTTTTGTTAGCCGTCTATTTGCATTGTTACCAGATGGGTTCATTTGGCTTTAGTCCGAATTTTGCTGCAAAAGCGTGCGGTTGCGCGCAACTCCATATTCGCCCGGCGTAATTTTGTTTATTTCGTGCAAGTGCCGCATCCGAAATTGTTGCGGTAAATACATATTGTCGCATTATTCCGGACACAAAATAAAGCAGAAGAAAATTGAGACGACAACTCAAAATTCCGCTGAAATATTGTAAGCAGCATCGGTGTGCGAAAGCCGTTGACGTGCGCTTCGTTTGATTTAATTAGACAGACAGCGCGGCGTATGTGAAAAATTGTGCGAAACTTAAAAAACTGAACTTAAATTTTTTGTGGCTGTTGTAGTTTTTTTTTTGGCCATAAATTTCGCTTTCAGGCTGGTCGCACAGGCAATAGAAAACGTTTGTTAATACGCGAGCAAAGGCAGCGTGGAGTGCGTTTTATTTGTATTTGTAAAATTGTTTTTGTTTTTGTTGCCATTTTTATGAGATTTTTTATTGTTGTTGTTGCTTACACTTTGGTAATTTACAGCGTTACGCCTTAATGACTACAACAACAGCGCTGAGCGACGAACTGTTTGTCAGTTCAAGTCGTCCACTAACTTGGTAAAGTTTTTTGTAAAAAGCTGGCGACCAGGCGATTGGCACACGCCCCATTTTATTTTTCTTCTCATTTTCTTAAAGCTGCCAATCAAAAGTCAATGCATTTGTATATTAACCCTAATTACTAAAGACAATGCAAACAAATATGTGTATAAATGCAAGTGTGTCGCATATTTTCACTGTCGGTTAGTCAGTCAATCAGTCGGTTAGTCAGTCAGACAGTCTGTCAATCAGTGATTTGGTCAGTCGAGTAACATTGTCTAGCAACTTCATTTCGCTTTTCAAGCGCACTTAGCGTCGTTATCAGAGCAATTGAAGACGAAGTTGAAAATAAAATGAAAAGCAGTCGTGGTCATAATCGTGATTAACAACAACAACAACAACAACAGCAATAACAATAAAGTGCGTCCGCCTTGCGCGTGTCTATAAAATATTAGCCATAAATCAGCAAAGCACCAAAGGCATTTCAATTGTTGCCGTTGCATCGGTTCGGCTTGAAGAAATTTGTAATGAAAAGTGAAGAAGTGAAGAAATGAAGAAGTGTTGTGCCTCCTGAAGTTGCGATATATGTATATGTACTATCTACATACATATGTACATATATGTACATATGTGTGTATAGTCAAAAGTTGTTGCGATTGCGAAAGTGTGTCTAATTTGTTGATGATCGTTCGTTCAGTCGGGCAGACGATCTGCTTATTATTACTGTTTCTTGACTGCCTCCTTAATGTGTGCATGAAATCGATTTATATTTCTATGTTTTCTGCGTGTTCAATTAAGAAAAGCATATAAAGTAAAACAACAACAAAAGCAAACGTCCATAAGTGTAAAATGTGTTAAAACTGTAAGCTAGAGATGGCCTTGCAGCGTGATCATAAGTAATCGTTCCGA